GCTTGCTTTAGGAGCTCACGGGAATACACCAAATCAGGGAGTACAAGGTGATATGGGATGTTCATCATTTGAGGGCAGGGAAACTAGCAGCAAGATAAAATTTGAGAAGCGATTGAGAGAAATGGAGGAGTGAGGGCCAGCACGGGAGTATTGCGAACCAAGACATATCGGGCCAAATACGAAGGGGTAGACCAAGGAGGATTAAAGAAAAATGGCTGTAATGGAAGCTCCCGCAATGCCTGGCCAGCAGACGTGAAGCCACCTTTTGCCACTGCCAAGATGGCGGAAACATGCTCTTTTCTCATGATGCCCACTTAAAGATTAAGTGGCTTTGATATGTTATGTAAATGCTACGTTAGTTATATATTAAAAGATACTTGTTCCCAACGAAATAACACACAGAAACGAGTATGGATGACTCAATCTTCAAAGAACTTTGCCTCCAATTAGATGCTCACTAAGGAAAACAAGTAACTGTAAGACGCACATCGAGCACTATATGACCCGAAAAAGTTCCCATATTAAACTTGGGCGTGCGAAATAAATGCTTCTCTTTTATTCACTGAACGATGATACTTTATTATGCCCCTAGCAAAATGGTCGCCACAGCCGCCATTTTGCCAGAGGAACGGCTTCACTTGTTCGAAATCATTGTCACTCCAGCAATTTTTTTTAATCCTCCTTCGGGTAGACCAAGGAGGATATAAAAACCTGCTGGAGTGGAAGCCGCCTATGCTTACCCATGGGAGGGGGTGAAGCCGCGCCGAGCCGCCGGCGGCCATCTTGGCAGAGGCAAGAAACAGCCGAGTACAGCTGCGCTCGCGCTTATCTAAGCAGCAGGTGCAGTTTCTCGCGTCTTCAAAGCAATAAAAACAGTTGTGTCAGGTTGTAAGCATTTATTCTTTGCTTTTTGGTGGCTAAATGGCCTACGATAACGCTTTGAGAAACTCGAAAATGGCAGAAAAAACACAATCACACAAACATTAAAAATATATGTGAATAGTATAGCCGAAACGAGCAGTGCGGGGAGACTCACTGATGTTTGAAAATGATCATTCTTGAAAGAACTGGCCTGACCCTGTCCTTGATGATCTCGCGGTTTCTTTCTTTTGTCATATGGTGGATGCGGATTTTCACATACAGCTCCGCAACTTTTTTGCACAAGCTGTAGATATGATTGTCGAGGGGATCAAGGTCAAGAATGTGCTGCTCTAGCTTCTGAAACCATTTTTTCTCTACAGACAGTCGTAGCACTTCCAAAACGAGATGCTTTGACTGGGAGTTAACTGCTTGAAGTGTTCCACACTCAATCTGTAGCCGTCGCAGCCCCTTTTCAACGGCTTCACACAAGCCAATGACATCCTTGGACGGGGACACAAGCCCACCTCTGTTTTTCTGCTCAACTAGGGGAACTAGCTCATCTGAGTACAGGGCTGCAATGCACTCTTCGCATGTTGTTGTCTTGCACACTTGGCGTACAACGAAGCCTGCGATATAAGGCACCACCGCAACAACTACGGCAGGAAGGTTTTCAGGGTACGTGTAGTCGTGGCCATCGTGAAGCTCCAAGATCGAGGACCTGCGCATGTCTGTGAGCGCGCTTGTTGCGTCTACCTGGGCGACAACAGTAGTGGCATTCAGGATGAAAACCATGTCTTTGGTGCAGTTTCCCGAGCTAGAAGACGTCACTTCTGTTTGCACCAGCAAACGCTTGTATGCTGCCATGAACTGAGCAGCGGTTGGGTTGTTGTTATACCCACCTCGGCCACGAACAGATCCGAAGAAGTTCTCAGCGTGATCCTGGCTCAGTTTGTGCGTCAACAAGTACTTCAGCTTACCCTGGCCAACAAGCTCGTCGAACATTTTTTCAGTGCTCGCCATGCAGATCAAGAAGCCCACAAAACCAGTTTTTTTCAAGCCTTCTAAAACTGGCCGCCCAGCCGGATCTCTCAATCCCTTTATATAAGCTTGGGTGTAGGCAAAGAATGGCTTCCAGCAGGCTTCATTCTGCTTCCGCAGAGGAGCCTTGTACGACCTTGCAAAAGGGTTCCTAGAATTAAAAATGTCGAACAGGTGATCGAAGACCCTCAAGAACTTCGATGTTGCACTGGCGCCCCAGAACTGGGGTAGCTTCAGCACATTTTCACAGAAGTCCAAGGCGTCGGCCACAGAGGAACTCAATGCTTGCGCAGCATATCGCACCTTCATCTTTTGTTTTTCCCATTGCACGTGGACTTTCGCGAGTTTGTTGCCCAGCCGCAGCCCTTCGGAACGCTGCAATGCCTCCAATGCCACTATGTAGGCCCACTTTATGTGCTTTCCTTCAGCATCAACAATGTAGCTTAAGTTCGCCAAGGAATTGCGGATAAGCTTAATCATGTCGCAGGCGTCTAGGATAATGTAAACATTCTTAGCATCGTCGGATGGGTTCACAAAGCTTGAGGAAATTTGCTCACAGTCAACACGAAGTTGAGCACCTAAACACCTGGCCATAGTGAAATTCGACGAGGCTCCGTCAAATGTGAGAGAGACTACTTCAGCCTTCACCGACGCAAGCTTCTCAATGCACTGTTTGGCCAGCTCGGCCCTCTCTGCTCCTGTGAGTGAGTCTATTAAGAAGTATCCAACTGGCATCTTAAATCTGACGTTGATTCCAACAATCATGAAGACACACGCATTTGCAGCTTCAGGAAGACCGTCATCATCAAGCCCAGTTCCGAAGTCAACATACCCTACTACCTTATCTCCAACTAGCTCTACGTGTTTCCTGATGGCCATGTCGTCTACAATGAGAGCGCAGTAGAAGGTTTCATCACGTGCTTCCGCAAACTTCTCAAGGAAAGCAAATGCTTCGGCTGTGAAGCCAGGAGCTCCTTGAATCGACTTGTACCAGCCCCTTAGTGTTCGCTGGGATGGGAGGGCTTCGTTGAACTTGGATCGTACATACTCGTACACTGCTGGACTGTAAAAATGCAAAGTCAGTGCAAATGCTCGCAGCTCAGGTGGGTACTTGCCCTTCTGCTCATTGCCCACCCTGCAAAGTAGTTGCTGAATGTCATCCGAGAAAACAGATGAAAACACATGCGAGCCTTCTTCTGACAAGAGTTTTTGCTCTCCGATTTCTTTGATGATTTCTTGGGCGGTTTCATTTCTCTTGGCCAGCCTTCGTTTAGTTTGTTGCAGTGTTTTGACCTTCTTCTTCAACTGGGTTATCTCTTCTTGTGAGGAAAGGACCTTGTCTTTGTAGAACTGTTTGATTGGCGAGTCTTCAGGAAAATTTTCAGCTCCAGGCAGGTCGCACAACCCAGAACACTCAGGACCAGGCGGGGCCGGGAAATTTCGAGACTTGGGGTCGGGACGCTTCTGTTTGACCTGGGTTTGAAAGCATACGTTTTCTCAGACGAGCTAAAAAGGCAGCAAGCGCAAAAACTAAATGAAACCTCACACGTATAATGTGGGTACAATTGAGCTACACATTTTCTTTGAAGAAATAATAAATGTACTAATTAACAAGGTTTTTCATAATCGTGCACGAGACATTGTATGCCAGCAAAAAGGACATGCACCCGCTCTGGTATAACTTTCCATTTGCCGGATGTGCCTTTAAGTATTGAATTGTAACCACTGTCAGTATGCTGTGGATGTCAATAATGTTTTTGTAGTAAACATTGCTGTATGCCCATTCCTGCTTAAGACCTGGTAAACAGGTCAGCAGTAATAAATAAATAAATAAATATGTATCTTGATCACCAGTTAAGGCGAAGGTGAAGCAGTTACCATTACCGGTAACTTCACCTTCGCCGGCGGCGTCCGGTAATGCGGTAAACGGTAACGCAAACACGGTAACGATATGCTAAAACTACAGCTACACCTCCACAGTACCGCCAATTCTCGGCACGCAATCAATGCCACGTATACCCGCAACAACATTTCGTGGAACAAGTATTATGTAGCGGCCGTAACGCCACAAGCGTTATGCACGCTAAACATTACGCTTCTCGTCCAACGATGGCAGTAATACTCACAGGTTTCTGCAGATGAGGCGGAAAAGCTGGAAACGACGTGGGCACACTTCCCACCCGCAGTCACGTCGTTTGCCCAGTGCGGTCAAAGCACTCAGGAGTGAAATGTACAGAGCACAGGCGGTCTCCATCCTTAGCGCGCCACCCTTCACGGCGAACTGCCCGCTCCCAAAGACTCCGAACTTCTGCATTCTTTGGAAACCTGTCAACAAATATACGACAATCAACTGCGGCACACGCACACACAATGCCATTTTGCTGCTCTTTCATGCGCGGGCCTGCAAGCAACTACAATGCGGCTGAAATGACCGCGAGTAGAACACGCTAAATTTCATGTACTTACAGGTGAAATGTGAGGCCACAACCTTTCTTCAGCCTGTTTGTGCATCCGTAGGCAACGCAGGAGGTAACCATTATCCAAGAGCAAGACTTGCACTCATTGAAAACTTTGAAGAGAACAGCGTGCACCAGCAACGAAGCGTGGAGGCGACACACCGGCAGCGCGCTTTCTGCCTCCGGCAAGATGGATGGCTGCCGCTGGCGTCACCTGACGGGCGTCGCTTCCACTCCAGCAAGTTTTTATATCCTCCTTGGGGTAGACACGGTATGCAGTGCATGTGGAGAGGAGGAGGAAACTGCCGAACACTTGATAATGTTCTGTAAAGGGCTTCACCCTATAGTTCAGGATGATGGCGCAGAGTTTTTCAAAGCACTGGGTTTAGGAACAGAGAGGGCAAATTAGACTTTAAGCGTGTAGATTCAACTAGAAGAAGGTTATTTGATTGGTGGCTAAAGCCAAGGCACGAGTGAAAATTAAATCCTTCACTGCAAAGTACCAGTCCTCAAATTCACTATTTAAAGAAAAAAAAAAGATAAAACTAGTTGTTTGTTCACTAAGTATTATGAATAGATGGCGTTAGCCACCGCCCGATCTAAAGGGTACAGCCACATCCATCCATCCATTCGAAGGCCCTCCGCGCTTTCATACGCCGGTGTGCTGCAGACGGATCGAAGCCCACTAGCATTTCAGTTTGAAATCGCTGCCCCATCATTTCTAAAGTGTGCTATACCATAGCGGCGCAGTTCTTGAGGCATCGCGTACTCTCGTGCACCTTATGAACAAAGTGGGAACTATTGCGCGTTTTCCCACTCGTGTTCTACAAGCAACATGTGGCCAGATACTCCGCGCCTTCATTGTGACATCGACATTTACCTCTCGCACTTCGGAGATCCCAAGGAGCTGTGGCAGGAAGCCACTCGGAGATGCAACTTCATTCATTGTGTATGCTTTCTACTGGGTCTTGCTAAGTAGAACAAAAAAGTGTTTTTGTTTAGATCTGTATTGCTACGTGTTTGTAATGCCCTCTCACTGTCCGCTGCTGCGAAAGTGCTTTGCATGTTGTATATAACAAATGCCAGCTCGTAGTTGGCAATCCTTTGGGTGGTGCACAAATATTTCAGTAAATAAGTGCAAAAATCTGAAATAGCTCCATCTTAAGTGACCTTGTTGGCTCATTTTCGCTCTAGCGGCTTGTTCCAGCTAGAAAATTGTGTGTGTATGTGTGTGTGAGCATATACATACACACGCATACACACATTGGCTGTGCGGGCCCAGACGAAGTGTCTGCGCTCAAGGAATAACATGAGCAATCGATTTTTCCGTCTCTTTCTTCCAAGCAGCATTTTCTGCCACTTACTACTAGCCAAACTAGACAATGCTTATTGCTATGGACATTTTTACAGTTTGAATTTCACCACAACACTTTCACATGCTAGGTAGTTGTATTCTCTTTTTGTGTCCCAAAGAAGAAGAGGTTGCAGAGCTTGAAGACCTTGAAATATTCTTAGAAGGGTCACCGGACCGCAAAGTTAGTGCAATGCAAGGGATGTAAAAAAGAAAAATGCCTGGGTTATAATGCTAAAAACTAAAAAGATGTAAGTGGTAGAAAGGACAATAAATTTAAATTTGTACCTGTCCTGTCCTCTTTGCAGTGTGTGATTCAGCATTCTCATAGAACCATTTTTTTTTTAGGTGCAGCTGCTTCTACCAGGGCTTTCTCAGGTTCCAAAAGATGTGCAGTATTTGATGGCTGCTCAAGATTACCATGTTGTCCGTAATGTCCATGCCAAAGACCTTATTGCCTGGGACTTTGTGGAAAATTTTGTGAGACAAGGTGGGAGTTGGGTTATGATATAGTCGCACATGAACTAGAAAACCTTGAAGTGACGAGTGTGGTAACATTTGATAGTAACTTACCACCTAAGTGAAGTGAAACCTTTTTTTCTCATTCGCCTTAACAAAGCAAAACGAGCCCTTAAAAATCTCCTTCTTTCCTTCATTCTAAGTGAAGCGTGGTAACATACCACATTGCAATCGCTCGAGTTCCCACTATGCTATAGGAAGTGAATTTTACCAGTGTTAGCACTGTGGATGTAGCAAGGCTTGCTAGAGTGCCCTTGATGTACTCTTGGCACTGCAGCTAAATTTAACACCGATTTTGATAGCAAGTCCTCAAGCTTCACAATGCTATTTTGATGAATCACGAATTTTTGAGCTAAATAACTATGTAACGTGCCTACCGGTAAAAACTGCCATAGCCGCTGGATGAAGGAGCGTACGGTATGGCCTGCCGCATCAAGCGCCTTTTTGTGGGAGAGTGTGTGTCAGCCATAGAGTCAGTTGCGGCCGCTGCAGCGCGATGGGGCGGCGACGGGAAAACGAGTGGCGCCGGCTCCCTCGGGGCAACAGCCGCAGCAAATTAGCTGGTGTTTGTCACAACAGTGACCCACTCTTTTGTTCTAATCAGTGCTTTTTTCCCATTTATCTCAGCAATGAGGTACCACATATTTAGTAGACTACGAGGCCCTATCTAGTTAAAAAGTCAATTGATGTTTGCTGTGCTAGCCGAACACCTGACTTTTTTTTTTTTTTTCGAAACCAGCTTCTTGTTTTGAGGCTGAAAGAAAAATCCACAATGCATGCAGCTGAATAATATGGCACTGAATGCGTGACAAAAGTCGTTCTGTTTATGAAGATGTCTTAAAGTAAGGTGTTTTGATTTTTGTGATGTTTATTCAGCACTTTCACGTTTTCTCAGCGGGAATGCTTAACAATTAATTTTTCGGGCACTTGACAATAGATGTTCATAGGTTTTATACGCTGAAAGCGTATGAAAGAAATATAATTTTGAATATTTTTCATGTTATCCGGCACACGGTAGTGTGCTTCTCATTTACATTACAATTGGCCTAATAACTTCCACTATTCCTTTCTTGGCATTATTGTCTGTTAGATCTCGTTAATATTGTATAAAACACGAAAAAACGAGCCCTTAAGTATACACTTATTTTCCTTATTCATTAACGAGGGTCTCGTACTGGCAGACTTGGTGCCTCTAGGTTGTATACGGGGGACTATTGGTCAGCTGCCAGTTAGTATAAGTTCACGTGCTACGTGACGCCAAACAGGCTCATAAAAAGTGTACCACACTCGCCGCCATGTCTACTATTGGCGTTGACTGACACTCCCACGTTCAAATTGACATAGATACCCAATAATGTGGCGGGGGCGATAGCTGTCGTGGTAGCTCAGTGGTAGAGCATCGAATGCGTATAACTCATCCCCTGATGAAGGAAGGACCCCTCCCGAAACTGTTGGGAAATAAATATATTTATCCTTGTTGACAACGCTCCCGTTGTGCCATATCCCATACCTTCAAGAAGACTAACTGGCCCATTGAATTATTACTCCCACTACACACACACACATATATATATATATATATATATATATATATATATATATATATACATACATACATATTGTAGTGAAGAAGAGGGGCCTCAGCAGCATTTCTCGGCACCTCAGGGGCATCGCCATCAGTATAAGCTCGTGCTTGCTGCGCTTGGCCGGACGCTGCTGACTGCTTCGCGTTCTGCTCTGCAAATAAACCCCGTTACAATTGGTGGAGTCTGCTGGGTTTCAATCACCCTGGAGCTTCGAAATCGCATTTTACTATCTATTATGCCTACCAACGCAAGCGCCGCTCCAACTCCTCCACCGGCACCGCCTACTGTTCTCTGCGCCGTTTCTCTGCGTCTGCGAGATCCCCCTGTTTTCTCAGGCACAGAAGAAAAGGATGTTGACGACTGGATTTCAATGTACGAGCGAGTGAGTACTCACAACAAATGTGATGACTCCGCCAAGTTGGCCTACGTCTCCTTCTACCTGTCGGACGTGGCCAAGCTGTGGTTTATAAATCACGAAGCGGAACTCCCTACATGGTCGGTCTTCAAAACGAGCCTCACACAAGTTTTCGGACGGCCTGAGGTACGCAAACGCCGTGCCGAACAACGTTTGCATACTCGGTCCCAGCAGCTTGGTGAGAATTTCACAAGCTATATTGAGGACGTTCTGGACCTTTGCAAGCGAGTCAACGAGCCGATGTCCGAAGAGCTTAAGATCAAGCACATCATGAAGGGCATTGAGGACGACGCTTTCCAAATGTTGCTTTCTAAGAGTCCTCGCACTGTCCTAGAACTGACCGAGTTATGCCAGAGTTTTGACGAGTTGCCCAGGCAACGCCTTTCCACCCGACGTCGCTCGGTGCTCGACAACTCTTTGTCCAGCCTGTCCACCCTTGGCATAGGAGAAGACCATGCCCCTCTTCTCTCCAAGATCCAAGAGTTCATCCGCGCTGAGGTCGCTCGTCAGCTCTCTTTGATGTCCTGCGTACGCGATCAACCACGCAGATTGACGTCCACACTCCGCGACTTCATTCAAGACCAGGTAGCACAAGTTCTTCCTCCCGCCCGTGAACCGCCGCCAGTCGCCGCACCTCTCACGTACGCCGAGGCCGTTGCTCGACCTCGACAGCCTGCGTTCCAGCCAGCGCCTACGTATTCGTCGCCGCCCTTTTCGCCGCCGACCTATTCACCGCCGCCTATGCCGATACGACCTCGGCCGCTGTTTTCTGCCCCCCAGCCGCAAGTCAGGGTGTACTCCGATCAATGGCAGACCCACGACAACCGTCCGATATGTTTTGCTTGTGGCGGTGTTGGCCACGTGGCACGTTATTGTCGTCGTCACCAGGCTGCTCAGAACATTCGACGAATGCCCTCTTTCTGTCTTGGTCACGTGCATCCGATCGACGCCTGTCACATTTTTGACGCTCCATCTAGTTTACTTTCTATGGACCTCAGCGCACTCATTTCTGACTCTGCTGTTGACAAGTCACTCCTTGACGCTTTCCACCGCTCCATCGATGTCGCAACATCTTCAGAACGAAGCCAGTTGGTGAACCTGCTGCAAAAGTTTCGTGCTTCTTTTGACAGCCACGCTTCTGGCCTTAGTCGCACATCGAACATATCTCACAAGATTGACACAGGAAGCCATACGCCTCTACGGCAGCGCCCCTACCGAGTCTCAGCGTCGGAGCGCCGTGTTATTGACGACCAGGTTGCTGACATGCGCCTACGGGGTATTTTACAGCCTTCTAACAGTCCCTGGGCGTCACCGGTCGTTCTTGTTAAGAAGAAGGACGGCTCCATTCGATTCTGTGTGGACTATCGATGTTTAAACAAGATCACCCGTGAGGACGTTTACCCGTTACCGCGAATAGACGACGCCCTTGACTGTTTGCAGGGAGCAGAATACTTCTCTTTGCTGGATTTACGGTCTGGATACTGGGAAGTACCTATGGAAGCATCTGACCGACTGAAAACAGCGTTTGTCACACCTGATGGATTATACGAATTTACCTTTATGCGTTTCGATTTTTGTAACTCTCCAGCCACTTTTGAAAGAATGATGGACACTATTTTACGAGGCCTCAAGTAGAACACATTTTTATGCTACCTCGATGACGTAGTTGTCTTTTCCACCGATTTCGACACCCATTTAAATCGTCTCGAGCACGTCCTCACACGCCTTACCGACGCAGACCTTCAACACAACCTCAAGAAGTGTCGTTTTGGTGCCCGGCAGCTCACCATTCTTGGTCACGTCGTATCGCGGGATGGCATACTTCCCGACCCCGCCAAGCTTCGAGCAGTCACCGATTTTCCGAAGCCAAAGAACTTAAAGGAACTTAGAAGTTTTGTCGGCTTGTTGTCATACTTCCGACGCTTTATTAAAAAATTTTGCTTCCGTATGTGCGCCCCTTACGGACCTTCTTAGCGGCGACAAGGACCTTTCCACCTGGTCACCAGCATGCGACGATGCGTTCACCAAATTACGCCGCCTGCTAACTTCACCACCCATCCTCCGCCACTATGATCCTGCCGCTCCCACGGAGGTTCATACTGATGCCAGCGATGTTAGACTTGGCGCTGTGCTGTCGCAACGGAAGGGAGGGTTTGATGAATATGTCGTCGCCTACGCAAGCCGAACCTTGATGAAAGCCGAGGCTAACTACTCCGTGACCGAGAAAGAGTGTTTAGCTATTATTTGGGCCCTTGGAAAATTTCGCCCTTACCTGTATGGTCACGCATTCGACGTCGTCACTGACCACCACGCCTTTGTTGGCTATCCACACTTATAGAACCTTCCGGACGACTTGCTCGCTGGGTGCTCAAACTTCAGAAATACGACATCCGCGTTATTTACAGATCCGGTCGTAAGCACACGGACGCCGACGCCCTTTCTGGTTCACCCATATCGGATGAAGGTGTTTGCCTCTCTTCCCTCGAGCCTGCACTTGCGTCATCTGCCTTGTGCAACATGACCGTGGAACAACGAAAGGATCCCTGGATCAGTGGCCTCATAAGCATTCTTTCTGATCCTCTCACTCCTTCGCCGTATCGCGCTCTCCGCCGCCAGGCTAGCAACTTTTGCCTAAGGGATGATCTTCTTTATCGACGCAACTACCTTTCTGACGGTCGCAAGTGTCTCCTTGTGATACCCCGCCATCTTCGAGCTGCTATCTGCGAAGCTTTTCACGCAGACCCACAGTGCGCCCACGCAGGCCTCTTCAAGACATACGCTAGGCTTCGACTCAGATTTTATTGGCGTGGCATGTATAACTACGTGCGGAAATTCATTCGCTCGTGTGCTCAGTGCCAATGACAAAAGTTAACTCCCGTGCAAGTCTACCCGTCACAACCTCTTCCTTGTCCTAGTCGACCTTTCGATCGCATCGGCATTGACATTTACGGACCACTACCATCAACTCTAGCTGGTAATCGCTGGATTATTGTTGCAATAGACCACCTGAAATGCTATGCCTAAACAGCCGCGCTGCCGGCTGCCACAGCCTGTGACGTTGGAACGTTTCTGTTTCAACGTTTCATTCTGCGTCATGGTGCCCCTTGCGAGCTCTTAAGTGACAGAGGCCGTGCCTTCCTTTCTGACGCCTTGAAGGCATTACTCAACGAATGCCGAATTGTGCACTGCACAAGTACTGGGTACCACCCTCAAACGAATGGCATGATGGAGCGCTTCAACCGTACTCTTGGCAATATGCTGTCGATGTACGTCGCCTCGGATCATTCAAATTGAGACCAAGTTCTCCCGTTCGTTACCTACGCGTATAATACTGCCGTACAAGCTACTACTGGGTTTTCGCCATACTTTCTTCTGTACGGACGAGAACCTTCAAATACAGTAGACACTATTCTTCCATATAAACCTTATGAGTCCGAAAGTACAACTCTGTCCGAAGCTGCTCGACATGCTGAAGAATGCCGCCACCGCTCTTTTTCTACCGAGGACCAGTGGCAGCAGCAATCCCGCCAGACTGGGGACCGTTCGGCTCCAAACTTCCCACCTGGTTCATTGGTATGGCTTCGGGCACCTGCTACCGCACCTGGCCGCTCCGTAAAACTTCTTCCCAAATACATCGGGCCCTACCGCGTTGTAGAGCAAAGGTCACTCGTCAACTATATTGTGGAGCCCATCATCCCATCCACAGACCTACGCTACCGCGGTCGCGACGCTGTCCACGTCTCTCGCCTCAAGCCATATTATGACCCATTAGTCGTTTCCTTTCCCTTATCCACTAGGATGGCGTCTTTTTCTGCGGAGGGCGATTGTAGTGAAGAAGAGGGGCCTCAGCAGCATTTCTCGGCACCTCAGGGGCATCGCCATCAGTATAAGCTCGTGCTTGCTGCGCTTGGCCGGACGCTGCTGACTGCTTCGCCTTCTGCGTTCTGCTCTGCAAATAAACCCCGTTACAATATGTACACACACGCAGGGTGCGGGTTCGAATCCCGGCTGCGGCGGCTGCATTTCCGATGGAGGCGGAAATGTTGTAGGCCCGTGTGCTCAGATTTGGGTGCACGTTAAAGAACCCCAGGTGGTCTAAATTTCCGGAGCCCTCCACTACGGCGTCTCTCATAATCATGTAGTGGTTTTGGGACGTTAAACCCCACATATCAATCAATATGTACACACACACACACGGCTGGGTCACGGGACAACCACGTTGTTATTATATTTATACATCGTAAAAACCATGGCTGCTGTAGGGAAGTTGAGTACATGTGACGTGTTTCATTTTAGCGAGAATAGGTGCTAATTTGTTGACGATACATTGTAGAACAAATAAACAGTAATGGATGACAGAACCGCATGACTGAGACTGTCAGAAGACAAGCACGTTGAAGTGCTATCGGGATTTGTCAGCGCCCTTTGGAGAGGCTAACATGAAAAGACCGAACAGATTGTATGATCGTCGATATACACAGAAGCTAAAAGTTGGGCGCACAAGCTGGAGCAATTGTCAAGTCGTTTTATTATGCAAAGATGTAAAGAAGTAAAAAAATTTTTAAAAATGCCAGGATCATCCCTGAATTGAGAATAAATAAAGTATTTTCACGCATCTTGTTGCGATTATGTATTCACTGTTGAATCATTTCCATTATCATAAAAATGTGGGGACTGATAGAGACGAAAACATTCAAAAGCGTTGGACCGCAAGCAGTTGTGTTCGCATTTTACAGCATTTCATGGCTATTTTCTTCTCACAGTTTTAATATTCAATTCATAACTGCTTGCTCGATTGCCAGCATTGAAGTTATAGTCACTGAAATTTCAAACAGGATCGAGTCCACTGTTATGAGATAGCACTCATGCTAAGTACATTTCGTGGCTGTTGTATTTGATACTTTATTGTATGAATACTATAAACGTGTTCGGAGGAAGTAAAAAGTCTACCGTATTTTGTTTTAAAGAAACACTGGCAACTGCAATTGCTGAGGTTACTTTTTCTAAATGAAATGATTAAATCTGAAGCAACGTTTTCTGAAGGAGATACTCACAATTATGTAATCAATTTAGGTGCATTAGAAAGGTGTAGCTTTTCTAGATCTGTTAGTTGTGATCTTGTAGGATCCGAGTAAAATGTGCTCACGATTCTTATTTCCGCGAAAACTGATCCGTGTGCAAGATTCCATCTCAAGTAAGGCAATACCAAAAATATGCAAGGGTTGCAGGTATCTAAAAACAAGGTCAGTAATTACCTGGTGGGCACATGGCAGACGGATATTAAAAGAAGCTTTCACGGGTCACACAAAGATGCACGCGCTGAATCGTAACTACCACAAGCGTGCCGCGCATGTGATTCCATAAGCGCTCGCAAAAACTGTCCCCCCCCCCTGTGGCGCAGCAGCGGTGACTAGACCTGTCATGCCAGTTTCGGAGCATGCGGCGGGCCATACCCATGCGCTCTTTCATCTAGAGGCTGTGAAACTGCAATGGTAAATTGTGAAACAGTATCCAAGCTTTGTTAAATAAACACTGACACAAACTTGCCTGTGTGAATAATTCCTGTCAATGTACATACATAATTTGCAAAATAATAACAGTAAATGTGGCTAGGAAAATTTTTTATATGAATTTTGAAGTTTGCATATGTGATTGAGTGCTATACACTGCACATTGTGGCATTGACACCTTCGACCGTGACTCGACGGTTACCTCCCTACGTCCCTCATGCCTGCAGATAATACACCAACTATGATGCTGTGACAGTCGCCGTCACTCTTTTGCCATGTTTGGGCTGGCAGTCCGTGGTTGTGGTGCACGCATTGAAAGTTTTGTGCTGGTTTGTCATTTTCTGTTTGAAAGGACTTTTTGATGCAGAACATGCAAAGGTGTGTCACAGTTCTGTGTGCTGATGTGGTGGAGCGTTGCACATGCTAAGTGGTGATTTTTGCACCCGGCACCTTGTTGTTTTTGGAACGCTCCCAAACCAAAACTAAGACTGGTCGGTAATGAGAAGCCTGTAATTGATTACTTGTTGTGTGCTGCAGCAAACAGTGTAACATGTTATGACTAACAGGTGAGGCCAAAAGTTTTTTGTCAGTATCCCTTTGAAGGAACCCTGAAACGGTTTCGGCGATCTTATACAAACACATTGCGCGAGTAGACTAAGTCTTTAGGGTCATTTAAAGACTGATTTGAGCTCTCTGCGTAGATTGTGCAATTTATTAATATGCTTCAAAGCTGTGAATTACTGCAAATCAACGCGACGAGGACAAACGCATTTTAAACTGCCCATTCACAGAGCGACATGCTCTGGCCATTTGATGTCACTGTGGCTGCTGATCTTAATGGCTGTCATGGGCTGTAGAAATATCAGAAGTAAGATGAGCTGGTAGGGTGGCTGAACCTTTCAGAGCCGATACAAACCACTTCGTGATCTCCGTCTCTATCGCCAGACGGCGTACGTGCTGCCGAGCGCACTGTGTGACCGCCTCTGAGACTTTGTGCATCCTGTTGGCATGGGATCTCGAAGGTCTAGACTGGTCAAAGCTCAAATCATCGAGCACGCTCATGAGAGCCTCAGAGAGCCTCATGAGTTGAGGAGGCCAGGCAGAGGTGAGAAGGAGGGTAGTATATAATTGTCCATAGTGGCTTTGGTACACGGCGTGTCACTAAATTTGTGGCGTGAATGGTTTGATGACGGTCTAGCCTAAATGTTGGCAAAACTTCAGAAAGCCGTTTCAGGGTCCCTTTCAGAGCTTTTCAGAGCGAAATAAAAATATTGTTATACAAGCAGATTTAAAAGGAAGCGTCTATATAAATTAATTAAATTCGCATTCCGGAATACATGAAACAAGTTTGTGTAGAATAAGTTGGTGCTAGAATTTGGCAGAGCACTTTTGCAAGATATTTCAGTTTTACCTGCATAAACACATAAAAAAGCATTGTATCTTCTAGGCCTTATAAACCTTACTTTAGCCTAGCTTTATTCGTAAAAACATGTCGGGTGTTTTGTATGAGAATGTAGTGATTGAAATGTGTGTGAGGCATGCAGAAACGTTTAAAGAAACTGGTTATGTGTTGATGAATTTTTTTGTAAACATGTCTGAAAATTGTTGAGCATGGCTAGTTTTGTCATATTTCTTGTATTTTTTTCAAAACAGGAAAGCTACACTTGTTGTCACTCAACTCAAGTATTCATTCTGGGAATTGTGTAGCTCTCACAGCAGATGGTAAGTAGCTAGGTGCATACTACAGTTATGTTTGTGAAAATACTTGCATACGTGCTGGCGCACTATTATTTTATCAACTGCATCATGAAATCTTAACGCCCAGTAGCTGGCAAAGTAAGCTCGCATGCGCGAGTATCCTAGTTGATTTGACTTATGGAGTTTTTATCATTGCAATATTTTAGGTGTTTCTTTTTATGATATCAGAGCAGTATGGTATGGTATGGAAAAACTTTATTTAGGTCTGTTGGGGCGTGAACTAGCACGTAGCGGGCCGCTCCCAAGTGGGGGAAAAGAGGCCTAATTTCTTTGCCAGGTCGTGGGCCTATTAGACTGCCCATAGCTTCGTCTTTAAATTCGTACTGCGTAGCACAGCATCCAACTTGGACGATGTAACGTTTTCAACCCGTAACGCAGTGTACCGCATGAGTATGTGATTTAAGCTGGCAAGGTCTGAGCAAAGCACACATAAGTTTGACATCTGAATTTATGGATAAAGTTTGTGCAAGAGTGCGGGACTGGGATATACCCTAACCTGCAAAAGTATGAGTGTCAATGCCTGAGTCATTTTCAGTTTGCTGTACGGTGGCGGATACTTTTGCCTCTTCAGATATAAGTTCTTAGTAAGTTCATTGTATGTCGAATGGGGATATTTGTTGTCCAGAACCTCATCGCCTCGCCGTTCAGTAACTATGCGGTCGACGACTCCTCATGCAGCTCTGTAAGCCGACTCGTTGAGGTTGGATGGAGTGCCCTCGATCTTTCCCACGTGAGCGGGGAACTAGACGATTGTGTGTTGCTGTACTTCCTTATTTCGCAGGATAAGCAAGGTTGATTCCGAAATGATGCCCTTAGCCAATGCTCGGACTCGTAATCTTGAGTCACTGTATATTGTTCTTTTATCATCTAGCAGGGCCAAGGCTATTGCGACCTGTTCGCAACCTCAGCCGTTTTCGTCTGAATCGTTGAGGTGTTTGTGACAATGCCATCTTGATCAACGGTGGCTGCAGTAAGAAAAAAAAGTATTGAAATGCTTAAAGCTGAAAATGTGCTTGACCTAAAAAGCTTCACTATTTCAAAATTTACTGAGGATGGTGTTTGCAAGTGATCGAAAGCCATGTGCTATCAGAAGTTGTAACTTGTGGCTTTGGTTCATTGTACACATTCTGCATAATTTAGAGCGAAAATTTTTCCTGGCCTTGAAAGGCAGGCTAAAGCAATTGAAAAAAATTACTTTGGAGCATGTAAGGGTTGTCAAAAAGCGATGTGAGAGTTCACACAAGTGAACCCAAATAGAAATTTTTGTCAAAAAAAACAAAGGCTGTGGCCACCGGGCTTCTTGAGATGCCGATCAAACGCGATAACGTCATACTCGGTATGCTCCGCCACCTGCAACAGCAACACTGCTGTAGCGTGGCCTCCACGATTAGTTCTGGTAGGGGCAAATCTTGAGTTAGATACGGATGATTGAAGATATGAGGGATGCTTGATCATGTAGCGCTTGGAACATAAAACGCATCTCTTGCTCCGCTTACAAAGTAAATTTAGTGGAGGGTGAAGCTGCGTCCACTTGATTTCACCTTCGCCTTCCAGCCAAGCTGACTGTGTCTCGACATAGGGCGTTTGTTAAAAACCCAATATCTAGGCAGTTCCCTGCACTTCCTTCGAACACTACATCTGTGCATGGCTAAACGTAAGTGGCGCTTAGCTAAACATGCCTAGTGAGCAGCCAAACTTTTCGTTAGTGTGCACAATAGCTGCGTCAGAGGAACCGAAGATGATGTAGGTTTCCATGCCCACACTTTCAGCATGCTCGTGGAGGTGGAGCAAGACAAGCTTTTCTTTTTATTTATTCTAAAGCTCCTTCTGCCACAACCATGAAAAAATTGGCATCGCCGACAATAATGTTCCATGCTAATGACTAGGCTTTATTGAATTCTAAAACCTCTTCAGTTTTTCTTTAACAGTGCTTAAATGACGCTTTGTTAATGCTTGTTGGTGGGCTAGTTGGCCAAGTAGCATTGTAAAACAAAAAAACAGTGCAAGAAGACTGGGACAGGAGGGGCATGTACACGAGTTGTTAGAGCTGTGAGTCAATGTATGTGTGTGTGTGCCCTTTTCGTCCCTGTCTTCCTACGCTCTTTTTTTACTATGTTTAACTGAGGCACTGCAGTTGCTGTTGGATGCCTTTGCAGGTAAAGTAATGGCTGCTTGCAGGTTGCCAAGTACATTAGGGGTAGTGACTAGAGGAAGGTAGCTGTGCAAAGGTCAGGAAAATGAAAGACTTCTAGCTTTGCTTGCGCAGATGCTGAGTGAGCTTCAGAAATTTCTTCACCACATATTTGTCCAGTGCTTCACATTGTATGCTATCTGAAGATAGCCTTGTCTATGAACAAGTCATGTCTAGGAGCCATGAACGTTAACACAAGCTCAAATTCGGGTGTAGGAGTTCAATGGCGACATAAGATACTACCAGATTCACTGGTGGCAATCCTTTGCATGTTTCTAACATTGTGACAAAAGGAAAAAATATGGTTAATATAGCACTGATTCTAAAAGAAACCATTAATCAATGGTATGAGCCTCACTTTTTTATATCAAAGTTATTAAAAAGACAAGTAATATTGGCAAGAAGATTTGGCAATAGTTTTTTTTTTTTCTTCAAAGTTGTGTCACAGCTGCAGTGATTGGGAGAATCTGTGCATATATTGACTGGCCAAGTGGTGCAACCCCACTTGCCTTTTTTGGTTAATATGCAAAGGAAACAGAATTGGGGCTGGTGTGAAATGGTCTACACTATGACAATGTGTTCGCTCACAGGACAATGAGGCATTATATTATTGGAGGGTCTGTGAAGGTCGGCAGATGCCTGTCCCACTAATATCCGCATTATGCGATTCTCACCCGTTCTTTTGGTGGGAGTTAAACTGTCCACAGACTCCAATTGGCTTCATAACTGATACATACTTGTTTTATATTCTTGTACTTTATTGTTTTCATACTATTTGTGCATCAGACTACCTAACTTTTGTTTAAAGAAGATAATCTTTCTTGGAATACTTCAATGCAGAAATTTTGGTCTGTCTGTCAACCGAAACGATTAAGCCACGCTGCCAAAGCTTAACTGCATATACAAGTACATATCAATATTTGGAACATGACTCCAACAGTGCCGGCAAAAAACAGCCGAGAGTGTCCATGCAATTGCTACCACAAAAATGAGCAATGAAGTCTATTTTGGTGACAAATACCACTAGTGGTAGCTGTTTTCTTTACTTCCACCCACCACCTACCTAACCATTTGTAAGTAGCTACTCTATGCTCGCAGTAATGACTCTAGTGACAGTCATGGTGGTTGAGGCACTTATTATATTACAGTGAAGGTGTTGTTTAGATCGCAATGAAAGCCCTATGAACGAAAGAGCGGGTGTTGCCTATGCTTTGCTAAAACAACACGGTGCTGCCACCTACCAGTTACTCTGCATTCTAGAAACTTTAGTTTCTTGGCATTACTGCCAGATGATGTTCATATTTCATTTACAGGCAAAGGACTATCGTCTTTAAACATCCTTTGCAGTGAAGCATGCAGATACAAGGCCAATTTTTAAATTGTACCAACAATCTAAAGTGCCTGTATAGCTTACCAAGGGCACCTAAATGAGGTCTGAGTGCCCATAGGGCCAGTTTAATCAGATGGGATACTGCATGAAATGAAAATCTCTATTGAAGGATACACCAACAGGCAAATTTTTGTCTGACTTCTGTGCTGTGATAACCATGGGTGAGTGTGATACTTGTGCAGTTAAACCATGAATACTTAAAAGTGACACAAAATTAAGGCTAGCAAGTTAATATCAATTCTGAAACTCCTTCAGTGTGCTTTTCCAGAATCACCAGAAACTGGGGTTCCCACCTCAGCAAATGGAACTGACTTGTGTTCAGAATTCATGGACGTTGAGGAGCTTGGTTGCTGTATAAGTTAGGGAGTGACATATAAAACACATGCCTTTCTAGAAATTTCTGTCTATTACTGGACACTTAGCATAAAATGACATGTGGCATACCCACCCAGAATAGGTGATGCCCCCCCCCCCCCCCCCACACACACACACTCATTTTTATCATGGGAGAAAGGGAAGAGCATACAGGCACCTTACATCCACCTGCTCAGTCTTCACTTATGGTAATGGGCACTGCATTCTGAAAAAGATTTTTGACTTTACTATTTAGCTATGCCAGTTGGAATGCCACTGGCAGGTGCAGCTAAAAGCATCTAGAGAGCAGATCAACAACGGACTAAGGAAGGAGACAAACTGTAGTGCGTTATGCAAACATGTCTTTTATGATATCTAGTGCACTTGCAGAGTGAAACGTCTCAGAGTGCCCGAGCAGCTACTGAACACATGATATTGATGCTGATGTCATAATATTATTCCAACTCAGAAGACCGCTCAAGCTTACTTTGAAGCCATATTGAAATATGATTAAGGCAGTGTTCACCACTACCCGCCAAGGTAGCTTAACAAGTAAGTTGTCACACTGTTAATCTCAAGGATGTGGGTTTGATTCGAGGTCATGACAGCCACATTTTGATTGAGGTGAAATTCAAGTATTCCCATATGCTTAAATTTTTGGGCATGGTAAACCACCGCAGGTAGTCACAGTTAATCTGCAGACCCCCACTGCGGCATGCCCCAGGCACGACCAAGGTGTTGGCTCATAAAAAAACCAGAAAAAAAATATTTGCCACTAATGCTCGTAAGAGGTCTCTATCTATGCGAGATAGACAAACAATTGAAATATACTAAGTTTCGAATTTCAGTGTCGGTGGTCTTTTGGAGATGTAGTTCACCTTCATCTGATTAATTTTTTACTGCCTTGCATTAGAACTATATGTCTCCGTTATGTAACACAGTTGAAAAAACGGATATAGCAACAAATTAGAATATGTTATTAGAATGCTTTGTGTGTGTGTGCACTTATGATGTTACGGTAGCTGTTATTCATTTCTGTCTTTGTTATTGTGGTCATGGTTTCAGGTGAACTTCACTTATCACTTCAGGAAGAAGTCTTTCAAGTATCAGGACTTGAAGGTTCTCGTTCTACAGGCAGTTCGAAGGGACAAAGTGTTTTCAGTGAGAAAAATGATAAGACATTTTTTCTTGCCCTAGACAGTGCTACCATTAGTCCTTAGTTATTCATTTGACATTGAGGTGTATAATAACCATTATCTTTCTGCGATCTAATTATTGTTTAATGATTTACCCAAGTTCACCTCAGTTGAACAGTGGTCAAGGTGCACGGCTGCTGACTCAAAGGTCGCAAGTTCGATGCCTGCTGTAGCGGTTGCATTTTGATGAAGGCGAAATGGTTGAGGCCCGTGTACTGTGTGATGTCAGTGCAGGTTAAAGAACACCAGATGGTTAAAATTTTTGGAGCCCTCCACTACAGTGTCTCTCATAATCATATCGTGATTTTGGGATGTTAAACACAAGATATTATTAATAATTTACCCAAGTAAATTAGTCATGGTTTATTTAGCCTTTATGTTAGCTGAGCCATGGTAATACCACCAGTATTAACTTAATTTCCACTCAACATATCTGTGGCTGCACCTAGATGCAATGGTAATAAAATCAAAACAACCAAATTACTTGGAACCTACGAAGAGGATTTCAGATCCTCTCCTTAGTGCTTCAATCTAGATTTTCTGTGGTGTATTGACAAACATTTATTACCCTGTAGGAAGTAGAATCTTAGAACAACAGTCTTCTAGTTCTGCGATGGAATCGATCATCCAGCACTTATTTGGATAAAACAGTTAGTAGCCATAATTGTGTAGTCAATTGTAAATAATGACTTTTAGGTGCTATAACAACACATGCAGAGTGCCTGCATGTTATACTTGTCTAACTGTGAATTTTTCGTTTCATAGTGTTAACTTTTGCAATAAAGACAATCTTAAGAATAATATTAGTTATCATCTTTCGCACTTTTAAGTAAATTTGTACGCATGTTCTGTAGCAACCTGCATGTGGTTTAGCGGCACCTTTGTTGATTGTCTTTATTCATTGGGTAAAAAAAACTAAGAGAAAAAAAATGACTAAATTTTTTTGCAGAATCAGCAATAGACCTACAAAAGCAATGCTTTCATCCAGGAAAAAATCATTACAAACGCACACTAGATTCACTGGAGAGGTGTGGCAGTCTTGTAAGTCAAGATGTGGCTGTTGTCTGGGAGTCCATACCAGAGCATACAAGCTTGTCACCGTCCTCGGTGGTAAAGCACTTTATCCAGTGTGGCCATACTGTGATCCCTTGCAAACCAAGGTACTCTTCAGCAGTGCAGTTCTGTCAGGCTGTGCCCACTGCTCTTACAACACTGGAACACTTGGTAGAAGATGCATATGTGCCAATTTATGAGTGGCTTGGAGCCATTGCCATTGGAGTTGATTCAAGGTGTGTGTATGCTTTTTTGAAAGTAATCATTCTTGGTCTTGCATCACCTCACTTTATGAAGTGAGCCATAATTATTTAGCAAACTGTTTCAAGTTGGAAGCTTTTTGTATAGATTTCATGACTATTGTGTACCCAGCTAGTTGCAAGTTGATGGCACGGCAAACTCAACTCGGCTTTTGCACCAGCTGTAGAAGTTTGCTGCAGAGGTTTTGCACATGGTTGTGTGTCCTGTGCAAAGACAGGGCATCCTTGTTGTAAGGGCTTATGTTTGTAAACTAAAGCTGAGCAATTTTCAGACTATACTTTGAAAATAGCCATCCAGGAAGTATTATTGTGTGCGACCCGAAGGTCACGAGATTGTAACTTGGCTGCAGTGGCCACATTTTCAATGAAAGTAAAAATACCTAGAGGCCCATGTACGTTGATTTAGGTCACGGTGTAAGAATAAATTAGGTGAGGACACTGCGCCCGGCGCCGCGTACAGATTGTGTTTGCCGCATGGGCTGTTTCCATTTAATGCGACAGATGGTGCTCACAGAGGGTAGGCCAAGGCACTGCTCACGGGTAGCGACCCTGATCCGCATGTAGAAGGTTATTGCTGCAGCGCCTCGCTTGTTTATTACGCTCAATATACACATGTACATAGATGCCAATAAATTTATACACTGTGACTCTGCTGTAACGAAATTGATTACCTAATTTTACGCGTTTATGGAGCTTATTTGCTAACAGTGTTTTTGTCGTATAAATTCTCTGAAAACAGCAAACATTGGCCTAGAGAGTGATTGCATATTGACGTGACAGCACTAAAGAGCTCGTGTCGCTAAAATTCCAGTGTCGGAAGCGCCAGCGTCTTTGGTTCTGAACAAAAAACAAAGCAGCATTTTTTCTGAGGAAATCTCAAATGTTTACAATAAGGGCATAGAAGGCCGAGGGCAAAGGCAGGCTAGCTATTAGGAAGCTGATAGCCTGCGTGCGTGGATTTGTGCGTCTATGTGAGTGCATGTTTGCCTGTGTGTGTACGCATGTGTGCATGTGTGTGCGCATGCACATATCGCTGTCGCATTCTGGTTGCTTAGCAAAATCAACTATAAGAGTCGTCAGAAAACTTTCAACAAATGTATCACGAAACTTACGCGTTCTATAAAGAACTTAAATAAACACACTATCCTTGCCAGTCTTGCTGTTAGCGTCACGCATATCACTCCATTTAGGTCTCTGGATGTGTAAGCAGTATGGTATGGTGGGAAGAACTTCATTGGGTTCGAAAGTGCGACTCTGGGCTGACCCGTACCACACATATGTCGAGACTGTTGGGCCAGTGCCATCAATCATACTTTGCTTTGTTTTATTAAGCCGCACGGACTTCAACTTAGTGAAGTGTTTATCAGACAGTGAAAGCGAGTGCACTACTTAAAGCAGTATATTTTGTGCAGCTCGTCCCTTACACTACCGACAATCGTATGACATATTTTGCATTTGAGGAGGCATCTAAGGCTATTAAAGGTCTTTGCCTTAACAAACGGTGTCTTGTCATAAATATCGTGGTCGAAAGTGCACCTGCAATGTTGCAAGACGGTGACGATGAAGTGCTATTGTCAAGATGTCTTATTGCTTCATTGCTATAGGAGTAATGATGTCTTGTGCTTAGCTTGGTTTGAAGTGTGATGCGAGTGGGAGACATCTAGAAACAGGAAAATTTGGCATGACATCAAGCATGGCAAACTAATCATAATCACATTAATACGATAATAGAGTGAACGTAGGAGAAAATACGGTGGCATCACAGAAATAGTATGTACAATGATTCCTGTTCACTGGTTATTCTCCAACATTTAATTTTTCTTGGTCCGAATACGTATAGGTAAGGCAGCTGGAAAAAGCGGCATCCGAATTTGAAACAAGAAATTACTTTTCTGGCATGATAAAGAACTGAGTCTGTAGCGCATAGGCCCATGTTACCAGTGTCATGTTGAGAAGCATCCTTCTTTTCACGTAGAATAGGCCTGCCGCTGCTGAAGTGGAAGCGCTGCCTTTTGCATGCGTACTTGTTGATCTTCATCATCGCCATGCTGTGGAGTCGCTGTCTCTACGTGCGAGAAATTCGATGTTCTTTTAGCGGTCATGGCAGGCACTTCATATGCAGCTGAGCCTTCTGGCCCCTGTCGCTTTTGAAATGTCGACAGTAGAGACAATCATGTTTGCAGAGCTTTCCTGGTTTTCTGTTGTACAGTCAGGTATTTTGGGCAGCCCGATGAAATGAAAGGCAAAGCATGCGAAGTGAGTGTAAATTTCTTTGATGCGTGCAACAGTGCGTTTCCCTTGTACTCTGCGTGATATGTGGCAGATGGAAATGCTTGGCACACACTAGGTCAGTAGGCTGCAAGGCTCTTGTCAGCTCTCGGAATGGCCCGTCACCATTTATCCAAGCGCTCTGGTTTGCACGGAGCCTTGAAAAGCGACACACGCTCTGTACAAGTCCGATACCCCAACTTGCATTTTGGGACAAAACACCACTTGCCCATTGCGAGGCGCAGCCAACGACAAGACCTGTGACGCATACTTGGAGTCATATGCAGCGTCGAGGTGTACTGAATCGCAAAGCACGAATCAGCAAAACAAATGCACTGGCAGGACTCACAGGCACAGGACTACGCATTTCTAAATCACAAAATCCCATGTACACAAACATTGGCGTCAGCAGTGTGGTGCGAAAAGGTCACTTGCCCCGCTCAAGCCTCACCAACACTTTCCCTCACCCAAGCTGTACCAGCGTTTTCCCCCTCCCCAGCCATGATGCAACACTTGTTTCCACCTCCCAAGAGAAAATCCGGCCAATCACCATGCACACAAAGCCTTCAGGTAGATGTTTTTTTGCGTGCGAATTCCAGAATGAATGAATGCAGGCCGCGCGAATACCTGGTGCCCCATACAGTAGCGCCATCTTAACTCGCGACCGAAGCTACTCATGGCTTAAGGTCATAGATGAACACAATCTGCTCTCGCCCTCTCTTTATGCGGAGCAGTGAATGTCAGCACTTGACTTATTCTTACATCGCATTTTAGGTGCACATCAAAGAACCCCAGGGGATTGAAATTTCTGGAGCCCTTTACTGAGGCATCCCTCAAAATCACATTGTGGTTTTGGGACATTAAAAACTCTATCATTTATTATTATAGTAACACTCCCCTCTAATTGTAGCTTCATCAGTTTAGTCTGAACTATTTTTGACTGATACACGTTACTCTTTTGTGCAATGCAGTAATACTGTTATACTTGTTACATTTTTAACACTATATCAGATATAATGCGCATGTTAAAATTGTTCAATAATTTAAAGGAGTGCATTATTTTTTAAAAGTAATTTTTCATTTTAGTACCCAATTAAATGCCTACACCTGAACTAAAGTAGTGCACCTGTACGGAGCACTGAAGGGACGTGTGTAATGAAATATTTTGACAGTTTGAAGCACTTCGATTTGAAGCCATTTGAGTGTAGCATATGTGAATTCTCCTTACAGAGTATAGATAGAATAAATTTTTAAATAAAGAGGCTAATAGAACATTTTTGGTTCTCGTGCTCTTCTAAAAAACGTGTATTTTATATACAAGTGTGAGAGCCAGCACAGGGCTTAATGCGCTTCCCATTCTTGTTGAAAGACAATGCTATTAAGCATGTGTCGCCATGCTACACGAATATTCACGCAAATAAATAAACTTATTGTGTTGAAATGAAAGGAAAAGACTGTAGCAGGATTCCTGCATACCCTGCTCTAAACAAAAAAGAAATTAGCAAGCCCTTATCGACACGGCAATATATAACAAAACTAGCAAGAGGACATGCTTTCAAGCTGCGTCGACAAAATAGAAATTGGCTAAATTTGTTGGTAAAAAGCTGCACAGTTTTTGGAGATGTCACCACCCTGAAACGGTGCTTGAGCGTGTCTTTATGACAGCTCCGTAGACATCACTGGCATTTAGGCATGTTTGGCACACTAATAAGAGGTTGCTTAGAGGTGCGGACAGAAGCACTGAATGCTTCAGCAGCCTGTGTTTGTGATGATATCCTTCCATATCAACTTGTTCTTACTTTTCATGATAACACTACCCACCCGTCCTCTTAGGATTTATTTTTCGAATTCTTCTTGGGTCATTCATTAGCTTGGCTGATATATGCTTTTGTAGAAGCTTGGGTTTGTTGGTCTGGGTTTGTCATGGTGAATTTCACTGTGCAAGAATGTAGGAAAAATGGGACAAGATATATTGTAGCTCGCAGGCTTTCTCACTCCCATTTTACCTGCACTCTCTAGCTAACACTTTATAGTAAGAAAAAATATCTTATAGTAGTAAAAAAACCTTTCAGGCATTTACATTGTTTGCAATTTAGTACTATTAGTATGTTTTACAGTGCACTGAAAAATGCAAAGCTTTCTTTTATTTTTCACTATGCCCTGTGACAGCTCAAGAATTCAATGGCAGGTTTGATGTACAATTCAAAAAGAGTTTCTGTATGCACAAGGAAAAATGCTTGCCCATTTCTTTGATGTCACTGAGAAACTACAGAAGTTTTTTTGAGTCGCCCAATAGTGTACTTGCCAATTATTAGGCTGTAGCATAATTTGGGAATTCACTGGCTCGTTGATTTGATTCGGCCCAGCGTGTTCTTAGCCCATGCTTGTTTTGTGCTATGAAATTCCTTGCTTAAAGGCTGTTGTAAAAAGGGTTTGATCACAATACTTCGCTCACTATGGGCTTCTATATTATATAAAAGACAGTCATTTACACTATTTACAACTGCTTTAGAGAGCTGAACATCTATGTTTATTTGTTGTCGAAATATCTCTTGTCACTGTGTCTTTGGCCATTGAGTCCCTGCTCCGACCACTTTCCCTGTATTGTTAGCTATGCCGTCGATTTGATAATTTTGTAAGATACCAATGTTTTGCTCCCTTGGCTCATGTCATTCTTGCCTCCAACTCATGCTTTGTTTCAGAAATGTGGAGCAGCTATCTATACCTTGGTTTTATGAAGGCATGTACTTTGCCTATTTGTTAAATGGGCCACATTGATTGTGGGCATCACTTATTTAATTCTTTGGAAAAAGGTGTGTCATAAGGAGCTTGGAAAAAAAAAACCACGCTTCCAGCATATCATGTGTAGTACAATGGCATAAAATGAGCACTTAAAATATTAGTTTGTCAAGCTTTGTTATTCAGTCAAGTGATTGCTTCACTTCATTGCTGAGCTATCTCCATCTCTCCACATATCCCTTCTGAATATGCAGAATTTGGCTTTGTTACACACAGTAAAAATAAAAAAAAAACACTTGTTGATAAAGATGCAAGATGTAAAGGCAGCATTTTGGTTTCTAATTTTTTATAGGGATCATAAGGATGCAAGGGAGGAGTTCATTAGCAGCTATCGCTTTCCTGGCCCAAGCACTGAGGTGTCCAAGCTCTTTGTTGCCAACTGGAAAGGGTTCTTTACTCCTACGTGTGCCATAAAGCTCCTTTCGTTACTCAGGTAAACTTTTATATTTTTCTTGCTTTTGGATAAAATCAATGTAGCAGAAATGCTGCCAAAGCAGAAGAGCATATACGGTGGCCCCATTTATCTCTTTATTTTTTATCCAGTAAGTTGTACACTGTTAGTACTCCCACAATTTCAGTATTGGTGTTAGCTTAGTCGTATGACTTTCTAAGCTGTCACTACAAGTAATGTGTATAATTTCAGTAGTGGAAATTATGGCAGAAGTTATTATTCGGCAAATCACTTGTGGGATAATCAGCAACGTGGTTTCGTGAAACCGAGCATTCGCAATCCATCTGGAAGAGGCACTCTGCCTGAACGAATGGAGTTCATCGATGGTGCGCATGTTTTGGCCAGCACCTTGGCTCAGTTACACTGCAGCAGGAAAACCAGTTGTGTCGATTTTGTATGATAATACTGACCGTGGGGTTGCATATTTCCGGCAATGCAGGGCCGGTGTGTGTAATATTTGCAGTCTGTAAAAATGCACGGGAGACTTTACTGGCCTGTCAAAGACACTCCTTTTGCACTCATTTCACCTAGCCTTGACTGTTTTTTTAACATATATTTGCATGTATGGTTATTGAAAATACTTACAAAAGTACGTTTTGTCTGATTTAATGTTAATATTTGTTTATTTATTGGCATATACTGCCATCTTATTGTGAGATATTGTAGGTGTGGGTGCAGAATTTGCTCGGAAATCATACATAACATAAAACAAATCAGAATCAAAATGAATGCTAAACTGCTTGAATTAACAAGCATATAAAAAGAAAGTTATATAAATGCACATATAACAAATCAACATTGCGTCAAATAACTCTTGTTAGATGGTAGAAAAAGGCACCAATATACAAAAAGCGCCGTACTCATTTAGAACTTTAGAGGCACATGCTGATGAAGGCTTTTTGCAAATTGTGCGGGAGGTAACTGGCGAAGTGTACCATCTAGACCATTCCAGATTCTGATTGTGGATGGGAAAAAGTCACAGCTTTGCTGCAAAGGCGAACCAATGAACGCGATAGCAACAAATTGAAAGGTCATGTGCAGAATGGAAAGTAGATCGAAACTTGCCCTGCGTTTCTCACACACAAACGACACACGAAACATACAGGTACGGATGCATGGGAATAAGCGTCTAATTTGTTACTTCGCTGTGTCTGAAAAGTGCGCGCTTTTCGCAAACGGAGACTGCAATGTTTGCAGTGACCTTTGTGCGCACGGTAACTACAGCAGAATCGTTCCAGGTAAAGCCCGAGTCCAGCCAAGACGTACGATCCTCCCCACGAGATAAGGGCGCGCGAGCCTTCTCTAAGCCTGGCAAAGTACGCGTAGCAGATTAAAGTGGGCGTCACTGCGCAATGTGGCGACGTGCGCTCATTGTGCCATCTTGCTGGTAATGCTGAATACACAATTCCCCCTGAGAGGCTCTTGAGCAGCGGTAAGTGGTAGATATATATAGCTTGCCGTTTGAACGGTGAAGGATGTGCTCCGGGAGGCTCAGTGGTTAACACCTTGCTTTCATGACGCAGTGGTCTCACGTTCGATTCCGCGTGCCAGAGTGTTTTTCTTGTTTTTTTTCTTTCTTGCATTTTCATATATATAGATACGAATACATATACGAAGAGTGACGGCGACGCCGGTGACAAAGTCTAGCCGAGAGTGTCCATATAATTAAAATAAAATAAGTATTTAAAACTATTTAAACGTGGGCCGAGAGTGTCCATATAATTGAAATAAAATAAGTATTTAAAACTATTTAAACGTGGGCAGAATGAGACCAGATCAAGGGGGTGATAGCTACGAGTAGCATGAGTAGGACGCTTCACAATTGAGACTAGCGCCGCCATTACTAATGATTCATGTGCAATCTTATTTAGAGTGACAAGCCGTTCACATGTACATCGGCATGCTAGTGTTTCAAGCGATAAATTATGTGCATGTGATGAAGTAGAGAAGGGGTGATCGTATCTACTGTATATGAACGTTACAGCTTTCCTTTGCAATGATTCTAACTTGGCTACGTCACAAGAGAAGTATGGGGACGAGACAACCAATGCATTATCAAATACTGGCCTGATTAGGATTATTTATGCAGCTAATTGGCAGTCTTTAGTAGCATCCTTCAATGTACGATTTAAGTAGAATAATTTATGAAGGGCTTTCAAGTGAATGCAGTCTATATGTTTCTGCAATTTCAAAAAAGTCACCCCAAGATATTTAAGCTCATCTGGGTGTGTAATATTAGTTTCACTGTAACCATAATGAAAGAGTCATGGCTTAACCTTATTGGAGGAGGTCATAGAGACTGCCTTTGACAGGTTGCCCCGCTGCGGTGTTCTACGGGCTAAGGTACTCGGCTGCTGACCCGCAGGTCGCGGGATCGAATCTCGGCTGCGGCGGCTGCATTTTCAATGGAGGCGGAAATACTGTAGGCCCATTCGCTCAGATTTGGGTGCGCGTTAAAGAACCCCAGGTGGTAAAAAATTCCGGAGCCGTCCACTATGGTGTCTTTTAAAATAATATGGTGGTTTTGGGATGTTAAACCCCAAATATCAATCAAATCAATCAATGCCTTCGTTAGATTGTAAATAGTTGCCAGGCGTCAATAATATAAATGACAAATAAAAGCAGTCCTAAAACAGAGAGACTTGGGGGACAGCAGATTTGACTTCGACAGTGTAGGACTTCGCATTTTTAAAAGAAACATACTGATCTCTACGAAGCAGGTAATCAGTGATCCAAGAAAACAGTGCGTCATTTTTTATTACTTGACGAAGCTTGAGCGGAAGTTTTTGTGACAGGCCGAGTCAAAAACATTGGCGTAATTTGTTAATATAGCATCCAGCTGACCCTGATCATTAAGTACCAAAGCAATGTCATGCGAAAACTCGGAAGAGTTGCGTGATTGTCGAGAAGCCCAGTCGAAAACCGGGCTGGCAGGACGAGATCACATTATTCTCAGTTAGGTACAGTCGACTCCTCTTAAACCGAACTCGAAGGATATCCATAAAACTGTTCCATTTATAAGAAGTTTCATTTAAGCAAAGCACACTTATTTAGTGAACCAAGACCTTTATTCAAATTGCACAAACCTCACCTTACTCATGAGGATGAGTAGGAGAAAAAAAGGAGTGAAGAGTGGTTTGTTTGGCAAGCTTGAGTTGTTTTTTCACAAGGTACGCGCCCATGCCTGACAAACTAGCTAGAAATTCTAGACAAGCCTCATGCTCACAATAGCGCTGCAAAAGTTCAACAGCCCCTTTAGCTGATCGGTCTGGTGGCACCACTGCACTGGCAGTATTGTCATCGCATTCATTGCTAAAAGGTTGATCCTCATCTTGCACTTTTGCAAGATTCCAAGATGAGTTTGCAGTCATCTTGCAATCATTTCCTCGACAGTCTCTTCACGACAGGTACGAACATTTTCATCAATTGATTCGTAGTCCTGCAGCATGAATAGGGCAGAGGGTACGACCTGGCTAAATACTGTCTCAATGTCGGCATCAGCAAGGCTTTCTTTTTCATCAGGTACTGCTTTCTTGTGCTTGAAAGCCAGCATGGTGAAAGCATCTGTGAATTGTTGTTGCCTTCACTTGCTCCCAGGCACAAGCCAAAATGTAGATGGCTGCCAATAAAATAAATCTATGCTGTAGAATTTCCCGCTGCCTGCTCTAAGCAGCATTTGATGAACGAATTGTCTGCACTGATTAACTTTAATTTTATGAATAACCCGTTGATCTATTGGCTGGATCACTGCCGTTGCTTTGGTTGGCAAAAACTCCAGAGTGATGACTTGGAGTACTGGAACCTGACCGTGAGCTGGGCTATTATCCATGATGAAGGCAATCTTCATGCCTTGCCTCGTAAATCTTGCGTCTTCCTACCGAAGGCAGTTTTCGAAAATGGCCATAATCATCCACGCTTTTTCGTTGCCATGGTATGCAACAGGAAGGTGTCGAACGCCTTTGAAACAACGTGGGTGCCTTGATTTTCCTGTTACCAACAGCTTCAATTTCTCATCTCCTGCGATGTTTGCACCCACCAGCACAGTGATGCGATCTTTACTGCGTTTTCTTCCACTACAGGCTTCGCCTTTGAAGGTGAGAGACTTTGATGGAAGTGCCTTATAAGAAAGACCCATCTCATTGATGGTGAAGACGTCTCGTGGCTCAAAGCTCATCAAAGTTTCCTTAAACCGCCCCTGTTGCCAGTCGGTGCAAATGTCCCTGTTGACTGCGCCACTCTCACCTGCGATTGCTTTGAAGACTAGGCCATGGCATGTTTTGAAGCGACTGAGCCATCCATCGCTTCGGACAAAGTTCTTAACACCCAGTTGCACGGCGATCTCTCGAGCTTTCTGCTCGAGAATCGGTCCGCTTATGGGCAAATTAGAACTCCGTGCACGCTTGAACGACAGAAAAAGAACTTTTCTAGTTGTTCATAATGCGTCGTCCGCATCCGTTTAGATGTGAAGGTCCCATTCTTAACGGTGCCTTCAATCTTTTCTCTGTCTTTCCAGATCTGCGACAACGTCGATTTCGGGATGTATTTTTTCGCCACCTCCATCTTGGGCAGGCCTAGAGGTGTGCGCCGAGACGTCGGCACTCCGCTGCCGCCAGTTTTCGCTGCGTCGCCATCGCCGCCGCTAGCTGATAGGAGTTAAATAACTGGATTGGAAAAAACGCCAGGCCTGCGCGGAAGGCGCAGCACAGTCACAGCGAGAGCTAGAAGAGCGGCCTTTCAGAGCCTTTTCTAAACACTCATTGCGTAACTGCTGCAAGCACACTCGCTTGATACCCACTACGGCAGTAATAAAAATTTTAGGGTAGTAGGCCGGCATTCGCTTTGCTATATTTCGTCATTTTTCTCAGAAGCGTGGTATCCGCTAAACACTTGCAAGGAATTTTGTGCCAATTGTTCATGCAGTGGCTGACGACGATGAGGAATTATGCCTGAAGCGGGTATGCACTACAGTTAATGGCTGAACAAGAACAATCTTTTGTAATGGGTTGGAGCATTGGGTGACCCACACGCTATGCTATTTGCATTGTGCGACGACTGGTTAATTGTTCTTTTGCTGTCTTAAAATGCTTTGTGTGTCGTATTAACACGATTGCTTTCCCGACATCAACCTTGCCTAAGGCAAGCTTGCCAACAAGTTCCAAGCACTAGTGTGGCTCAGTGGCAGGCACCCAGTGGACCCGTGTTCGAGCCCCAATGTGTCAATAATGTTAGGTTTTTATTTTCTAATTTCATGCAATGTGGTTATGGACCCTGGCGGCGGCCAACTGTGCGTCACCCGAGATGTGATCTAATAACAGCTTTTGTTGTAAAACTTGTTCAGTACTCCTATAATAATGTAGGAAGGTAGTGTTGGACTCAAAATAAATGTTAATTTTAAACTACTTTCAAGCTCACTTTAATTAAGCGAATGCAGGTCGGTGACATCGCCAACGGCGGTGTTCGGCGAGGACTATATATTTACATATTCTTTGCTGACGATCGAGTCTATACTCCCTTTCACAGAATATGTATGAATAAAAGGTGTGGAAAGACAGTGTTAGAATAACAATCAATGCGACTGTGAAAGCGAGTGAAGGAACAGTTACAGTTCAAAGAGGAAGATCGGCCTAGTAAATGTAGAAGCCCGCTTACGTAATGCCCTTACAAGAAAACGGGACCATTAAGGTAATAAACTAAACTAAGCCGAATGCGTATGAAAGCAGTTGCTTATAAATGAGCAGGAGCTAGCTGTTTGCGGCATGCGTATTTAGAAAAGGTCCTTTAAGGGGAGATGCGGGTCGAAAAATCGCGTTTTTTGCGAAAATTTCCACTTTTGAGATATTGCTTCTAAAATCACTTTTGATCATTCAACTATCATTTCCCCAAAGGTCATAGCTGAATTCAAACGAGAAAGTGGTAAAAAGTCGATCTGCGCTAGTGAAGGTAGCTGCCGAAGTCGCGAATTCACGCATCCGACGGCTATTTTTGAAAATCCGCCACTCGGCAACACGATGACGTCCGCCATCGGGGTTTGTTCGGTGGTGTAGATCAAGGCTCCTTCTAGTGTACAGGCGTCCCCCTAGTTTCGTATTTTAGTGAGGAATTTCACAAAACAGTCGTTTCCAAGTCGGTTTGCAGCCAAGCTGCAGCCGCTTCGCGCATCTCTACCGGTCACATGGTACGCTACCGAGGCCGCCATTGGCTACATCTGATCGGCCTCGCTCGCTGAGCGCTTGCGACGATCGGCACTTGCCGTGCGTTTCTACGTTTTTCCGAGTTCACCATGGATAACTCGAAGAAGCGAGACTTCCGAGCACGAAAGTTTGCAAGCAAGAACAAGTACCAAGGGCGTCGACGTAAACCGAAGCGCAAAGCAGCGGTAGAAGAATGCGAGCCGCGGGCCACTAGGCCTAATCAAGGCAGCGGGGATACGGCGGCTTGCGGGAACTTTGACGAAATCGACGCCGCGATCAAGTTCATCAGCGCATCAGAAAAAAAGATTGAACAGTTCGAAAGCGAAAGAACGAAGAGTGTTTGTGGCTCTGTGAGCGGAGTATTTTGTGACATCGGCGCACTGACATCGATGGTAAGCCGTGCTGTTTGTCCAACATGCCACACCGCTGGACTCGTCGTTCGCGACACCGCAAGTAAACGTAAGGGCCTCTCTTCGTTCCTCGAGCTGCACTGTGATAACAGTGAGTGTCCTGAGTCAGTGGTTTCTGCCGCGCATAGTTCGCGGCGTGTTCTGCCGGAAAGACAGCCCACCGATGCCGGTGATGACTGGAGCTACCGAAGCGGCAGCTCGCGTGACAGCTTCGCTGTCAATGTGAAGGTAGTTGTGGCTGCGCGTGCAATAGGCATTGGGCATGAACAGCTGTCGCGTTTTTGCGCTATTCTTGGACTGCCAATACCTATGCATCATAAGACTTTTATTGCAATTGGCAAAAAAGTTCATGCTGCAGCTACCAAAGCTGTGCAAGAAAACCTGGCGAAAGCGCGGATGATAACTAAAGAGAAAGTGGATGGGGCTGATGTTGCTGTCATGTATGATGGCACATGGCAAAAAAGAGGGCACAAGAGCCACAATGGCATCGGCACTGCTGTGTCTGTGGACACTGGTTTGTGCCTAGATTTTGAAGTGCTATCGAATTACTGCCTTGCCTGTAGCCGGCACCAGGACTTGGGTGATGAAGAAATATGGCAAGCATTCCACACACCTGTCTGCGAAAAAAATACAGAGTGCTCCTCTCATGCCATGGAGACTGAGGCAGCTTTGCGCATATGGGGCAGGACATCCTCATACACAACACCATTGCGCTTCACCAAGTTCCTCAGTGATGGGGACAGCAAAGCTTATACCGCTGTCGCTGAGGCCAAGGTATATGGTGAAGCTGTTGTGGACAAGGAGGAGTGCACAAACCATGTGGCCAAGCGTCTAGGCACTGCACTTCGGAAACTGCCAACAAGACTTCCACGAGGGGAAAAGCTGACAGATGGCACAATTCAGAAGCTGCAGAACTATTACCGTATTGCAATCACAAACAACAGAGGTGATATTCTGAAAATGCATCGTGCCATCTGGGCCTCATATTTCCATTCATCATCGAGCAACACAGCAGGCAGCCACCGATACTGTCCAGAAGGGGCGACTTCCTGGTGCAAGCATAGGCGAGCTGAAGCGCTTGGGGAGGCCCCACCCGACCACACACCAATCTTGACCAAGGCTCAAGGATTGGCTGTGCTTCCCATTTACAAGCGGCTCACAGATGAAAAGTTGCTGGTGCGTTGTATCCAAGGGAAGACCCAAAACGCTGCAGAATCTTTGAACAGCAAAATCTGGTTGTTGTGTCCGAAGACTAAGTTTGCCTCCCGGACAACAGTGGAAACTGCAGCTGCTATGGCCGTGTTGTGGTTCAATAAAGGACATTCAAGCTTTGAACACGTGCTAGAGGAGCTTGGTGTAGTCCCACCAGATCAACTGATCACCCTGGGCCAATCCCGCGACCAGAGGAGAATCGAAAGAATGTCTGCGTGTGAAACAGCCGAGGCAAGGGCCCATCGGCGGAACGTGGCAAAGAAAGCGCGCCTTGATGACTCCCTTCTCAAGCGGCGAGAAGGATCCACATATGGAGCAGGACAATTTTAGGTGCTCTAGCTGTGTCCCTTCTATGATATCACCAAGTTTTGTGCAAATCGCACTGTGTAATCATGAGTAAACATATTTACAACTTTCAAATGCATTTTTCTCGATTTCCATTTTGAGGTAATTCTCTCATCTTGTGCACAATCTTTTTTAGGCATAAAATAGTCCTATCTTGATGAAATTTTGCACAGAGCTTAATCAGCCACTCTAGAATACAAGTATCTACTTTAGGTTGCATTATACATCACAGATTTTTTGTTACACAACTTGATACACTGATAGAGAGATGTAAAATATGCATTTAGTACTTTTAATTTTTTTTTTTTAATGTAGCAAATAAATTTTCTGTTTGAGGTACTTTTCTGTATTGTACTGCTCAAGTGCAGCAGAATGAGCCATTTTGCAATTCTGTGTGAAAATTTTTAGTAAGCTTTATTATGTGCACAAAAAACACTATATTTTGATATCAAAGTTGTAGTAACTCCGGAACTACTATAGCTATCAAACAAATAATTGCAGTTATGAAATCAGCACTGCAAGCTTTACTAACACCTAAAATTTCAAGGAGCTGGGTTATGAAATAAAAAAAAACCTTTTTCGAGTAGCATCTCCCCTTAAGGAATAGGAACACAGCCTTTACTGCAGAGAGAAATAGACGACCAGCACAACAGATGAAGTATGCTCTATCAAACAATCGAACCAGTTGGCAGGTTTAGCAAGGTAGACCATTGGGCGAGATTAGGCTCACCGTCAACCTCGAGTGAAGTACTGCACAGAACATGAAGGCAAGCTGGTAAAACACTAAGTACGTAACGTCTTGTGTTTTCTACGCTTTTTCATGCACTCGTTAGACAATCAAACCGAGTAATCTGCGCGTTACTTCACCCGTATTCTATCTTCGACTAAATTCGACCAACTAAATCTAGATGCCGATTTTTCTCAACAGTGTTTAAAACAGTACATCGCTAATGCAGCTTGCTGTGCGATTCGCTTCATAATATTTGGAAGAGGAATGCAATGGAAGACACGAAAATAACTAAGAGAGCAACCACAGAGAGCAAGCATTAGACTTCAAACTCAATGTTTATTGCAGAAAGCCCACCCACACACAACCCAGCAACGCGTGCATAAATTATGCTATCTGAGTCATTTCACAGTTGCACACCTAACAGTGCACAGATGTTAAGGTGTTAAAACAGCACATTTTCATGAAACACTACAGGGTCAATGCTACCGTGCAATCACTATGTAGCAACGCGAATTTTTTATCTGTAAGAAAAACTGATCGATGATTTACACGACTCTTTGCCATGTTTCGTTTTATTTCGAAGGCTTTAAATACTTTACGTTCAGGCTTATTGATTGACATTTATTGATTTGAAATCGGGGACGTAGAGCCATTGCAGTGCAGCAGTGAGTTTCCACCAGCACCTGTAGGGAGTAGAATGCGGTGTTCACGCAGTCTGTATTTGTAGCTGATCGGTTCTTTTGACTTTTGTAGACACGGCCACATGACAAGAAAATTTCGAAACTCACGTACGTCCGCGCTGCAAAGGCTTTAGCTGTGCGCCCGTGATTTCAAATCAGGGTG